TTTTAAACAGTTTCCTGGTTGCTAAATAGGAAAAGGATCAGAAAAGAGACCTGAGAATAAGGAAAGTACTAGAAATATTTGAATGAGATATTGAAGAAGGTTGAAATGTGTATTGGTCATATATATGTAGTAAAATAAAATAAAACCCTGAGTTATTGCCTTTACCTTGACAGTTGCTCATGTAGGCTCCATTTCAGCCAGAAGGACTGTGATGACTGAAGAAACGTCAAGAAGCTATGCCTGCTACTGACTCTCAAGGCAGAGGAAGAAGCCAGGGATGTAGGCAGCTCCTGGCAGCCGGGGAAAGGGAATAGCTTCCCCCTGGATCACTGGAAAAGGAAGGAAGCCTGCCAACACCGACTAAATGGGAAATCTGCACCAGGATTGGGTTTAGAGAATCTCCATCTTGCTTTAAGTAGTTAATTTTAACTTTTTTTTAAAAAGCAGAAGCAGGTAGAAGCCTGCAAAGTAAGTTGGTGACCTTGGTTGTAAGGACTTTGTTAGGCGTGGAGAGAAAAAATGAAAGGTGTCTAAGGAATGAATGACATGATGCTCTCCCTGCCTGTTCTGCACACCAGGTGTCAGGCCAGGTGTCATTGGCATCACCTCCAGTTTGACCTTTGCCCTTAAGTACAGTCCCGTTAACTATGACTCCAGAATTCCTCCAATACAATTATCCATTCACAAGGATTTCTCATACAACATCCCTACTCTATGTTCTTAGCTAAACCATCTTCATTATGTAAGACAGAGTTTGGCTAGTCAACACACTCTCAAAATGGGGATTGCCAAAAATGAAAACGCTGTATTTGAAAAAGTGCAGTATTTATTTCTTCTGAAGTCACGGCAAATAGAGTGCCCAGTATCATTCAGGTACCACTATGAAGTACTTTACCATTTAAGAGTGTTTTTCTTCTGAATTACTCTTTTCTTTGTTCATAAAATTACACACACACACACACACACACACACACACACACACATATAACATGTGTATATATAATATTTGTATGGTTTTTGAGGTGGGTTAGCCAGCTACACAGTATGTAATAAAGTCGACTTACTACTAAGTGTTTATACAGTGTCAATCTCCTGGTGTTTAACCAAGAAGGCTAGAACACACAGATGTGGAGGTACTGTCTCTGTAATCTTAAAGTCACTGGATCACAAACAACTGATTAGGGGAAGAACAAGTAGAGTAAACGGAGGAAGGAATAAACATGAAGGGAAGGAGGCAGATCCCACCCTCCTGGGGGTTTCCTCTGAAGCAGGTGTAGGGATGGGTCCTTTATGTGTGCTCTTTAATCTCGCATGAAGAGAGTCAGCCACCCTCTCCTAGAGCCAGCTCTTTCTTTAGCAGTGATGACCAGAATGAGCAGGAAGAAGAGAGGGGACACTAAGCTCTTGATGCACCCCAGTTTCCTCAGAGTTCTATCTGATCCTGCTTCCTTTCAATAAATTAAATACTAGTTTATGAAGGATATAGACTGGACCCTGCAGCACCCAGTGAATGGACCAGGTAAGATTTCATCCCTGCTCTGAGTTTGTATTAAGTACTGAAAACACACAACGTAGGCGTTCCAAGAGGACGGGGGCAGAAGGACATGTGCATAGACCTTTCCTGTTTCCACAAGGAAGCTTCTAGATCTGAGGGGACACCGAGAGGAAACTGAAAGTGAGATGTGCTTCAGAACGTTTGCCTGCTTAGGTAAACTGGTGCAGCACAGAGTGACTCCGGAGAACGGCACGGCCCGTGCGATGTCCATTCCTAGCAGCCACAGAGACACACTTCCATTGTCCAGGAAATCTGAACAATTGTGTTTCTTTGTGTGTTAGATATGAACATGCACTGAGAAGTCCTATGCTTTTCTATAAGTCACCATATTCAGAAAAACAATACCAGTGTCCTTAGGCTCCGTGGATAAGATGTTCAAAATGAAGGCCGAGACATCAGCGAGTTCTCTACTAATGGCACCTGATCTTCACAGGAAGACAGCTATTCCACAAACTCTGAGCCTCTGAAGCAAATATTCCCCCAGGCTTCAAAGATTATACAAACACTTGAAGCTCTTCTTTTGTGAGAAAAGATACCAAAAGTGGAAAATTAACTGATTAAGGACATAAGAGATGTACTCAGATACTCAAACACGATGCGCCCTTCTGTCGACAGCTCAGACGGATATGTGAACATTTAATTTTCACTTTCGTTTCCAGCTGGGAAAGGAAAAGGACTCAGCCAAGAAGTCTGGAGTGCCAATGTGCTCCTAATCCTTTGTAGCTGGCCGTCCTGAAGTCTCTGGGGGCTGACTGACTTTTCTTTCTTCTAAGAGGAAATTGAAGCCTGTTACCAACTCTCCCAAAGTCCAAGCACAGAGGCTTGTTGCTACAACCACACACTCCAGATCTTACAGGCCTGCTGTCCTAGCAAATGAGAGAGGAACAAACGCTGCAACCTGCCTCGAAACAATCCGCTGGATATACCAAGCGTACACTCTTATTTTTCTTTGATTCTCATGTGGGCATGCTCTGGGATCTGTTTCCCACTTTCTGCCAATCTACCCATCACTCCCTTCCCATTTAAGTCTTCTGTCACTGAGAAATGACACGATTGCTGTGTCTTTGGGAATGTTCCACAGCATGAGCTCCCACTGGCCCGTCTTTCCCCAGCACTGTGTTCTACAAGGCCCATCAGTGTGGTCATAAAGATGAAATGGCTGTCACCCACCCCCATTCAAGAAAATGGACAGAAAACACTTAAAATGGTTCTGAGCCAGGAGCATTTCATCCCTTATTCGCCAGCGGTAAATGAGTCAGATATGAGCTGGCCAAGAAAAGGGCTGCCTTACCCAGAATCCGAGCACAAAATGAGTCATCTCCCTCCAAACACCAATATATCCTCCAAAATAACTGGCAAGAATTTCCTATAAAAAGAATTTGCCTTTGCTCTTTCCATCCATTTAACTCTCTGATTTTTTTTTCTATTTTTTCAATTTCCTGTGTGATTACAATATTGCATTCACAACAAAGGCCCAGGGACCTTCCCTTTATTTGTGCCTGCTGAGCAGGGGGACAATTGCAAACCCTGGGTCAATCTCCCGTGCTCTCACCACCCCCCTCCCCGCCCCCACCCATGTCTCCATCATCCCGTTCATGAAAGTCATACACAGTTTAACTGAAACACAGGATCTGGTTCCGGGAGAATTGTTTTCTGTCCCTTTGTTGAGGGAAATAAAAAACCACAGAAGATAGTTCAAGTCAAACCATTCTTTTCTCTCGACAATAAAATAATCACAGTTGGTATGATCTGTCTGAAAAGGATAAACAGACAAGAAACCTGGCTTCTGCTCTGCCTTTTTGTTCACCAGGACTCAGGATTCATGTGCCCTACGTGTCCTCCACGGAAGGTCAGAGTCACGGGGAACCAAAGCTGGGTTCATTCTTACAGATTCTCAGGAGCCAAGCACATGATTTACCACAGAAAACGCAAATGTGCTTGCAGGGGCAGCGCCTGCCAAAGCGCCCAGATTTTTTATATTGGCTTGGGGTTCACAACATCTCATATTATTGTTAATTATTCAAAGCGCTGCAATTCCAGGGACAGAATTACTTAGAATTCACTTCGCCCAGGGTGGAATTCACCGCACTTTGCTGTGTTAAATGTATTCTGAAGAATAGCCTTGCTCTTTTCGATCCCACACTAACAGATGTTAGCGTCCTCGGTTTTACGGCACTCAGAAGACAGACAACTAACTGGTTTTGGCCTTGGGAATCACTGCAACACCTCTGGATTATGAACCTGGTGCAGCTCTGAGCTGGGGACAGCAGGGGGCTAGTTCATAATATCAAAGATGGAAAACACGTTTCCCCCTTGCTCTGCGTACTGCGGTACTGCGGGGAAATGCCTTCCACTTCAGTAACACACAAGTGATCTCCCCATTGGTAATCTTCCCCTCAGCTGGTTATAGCAAGAGAAAACATAGGCAGAAAGATTAAATCTCTTATTCAGTGTATCAACTGTTTGGATGCAAACAAGATGTTAAATCCATTAAACTGGGAGTATCCAGCTAAGGCAAGAAAGCCGGAACAGTTCATATTGGCGTGTTTGGGAGGTGGCAGGCTCTGATGTTACTGATGCAGGGAGCTGGAGTTCTATCTCAGCAGCAAGCCCCAGAGTCATGCCTGACATAAGCCCAAAGACAAGATGTGACCTTGCAGTCAGCTATAGAAAACACCAGTACGGCTGGGCACAGTGGACTGTAAAGAAATATTGAGTGTAGCGTCTTCATCAGGAAGAGGGAATGGGCAGGACAAGATACACACTGACAATGGTTTCTTAAAGAGCAAGCAGGCAACCCTAACTAACCTGAGGCTAGCTTTACACGCCCCACCCCAGTCTAGGTACATATGAGGACAAATCGAGAACATTCTCCTCGTGGAATGTAGAATAAAATCAGCCTCATGTCTCCTAGACTTCACACACACTCCTGTCTCTTTGGCAAGCACCTTCCATCTTTATGCACGTAGACTCAAGGAGACCCATGTATGTATACAATCCCTGATCCCTGACCGGCATCCTGTACAGCTTCACCTTCCTGTGTTCCCTTTCTTTTTTCAGAAATCATGAATGATGAGAAGAAGAAAAGAACATCTTGGAAAACAAAGATAAGGAGGGGGAAGACAGGAAGCCCCCAAGCGGTTCTTTCCACAGTCACCTGAACTAAATTGCTCAGCAAGGAGTGGTTTTCCTCACCATCTCTCTCACGCGCTCTCTCTCTCTTTCTCTGTGAGCCGTCTGCTCCAGCTCTACTTTTCCCAGGAAGAATGAAACAGTTGAGTTCTGCATAGCCTAGAGTCTATACTCTGCCATCTGTGGCTTTGGAGAAAGCAGATGGAGAAAGTAGAAGACGTAGGCAAAGAAGAAGCAGGAAGAAAGTTCCAGAATGCCAGCAATGAGTCTGGACATTCCTGGCCCCTGATTCCCCCCCATGCTGGGTCCGTACCTGCCATCTTCCTGAGCAAATGGCTGTTCCACATCGACCGTCAGAGAGGCTAGTGCAGAAACGGTCTCCGACTCCTCTTGCAGCTGAGAACCAGGCAGAGCACAGTCCCTCGCAACAGCCACCATCTTGATCGACTTCCAGTACTTGCCTAGAAAAAAAAATCCACATGTTTTGTAGGAATTTTACTTAGATCAATAGTAATCACAGTATGATTACAGGTTCAAGTCCTTTTGCTATGCAGTTGTAATTTGGTTTCTGAACTGCTATAATTAAGTCCTTTTGGGGGGACGCTAAGGATGCCAAGTTGTGAAGTACTCATGGTCCCAAGCCAAGATCTCAGCCTTGCTTGGAAAGCAATAAAGCAAGGAGTAATCTACGGTCTAATAGACTTGCTCACAGACTGACAGATGTCCCTACAACTAAATAAGCAAACCCTAGGCATCATGCCCTTTGCAAACCCTCAAGAGACCTGGAGGTAGAAGTCTCCTGGAGAAAAATGAATGAAACAGCAATGTTAGAAGTCGCTACTTGAACTATTACCTTGCTTTTTTTTTTTTAAATGAAGTTGGAATACCGAATGAAAAGAAAACCCAGAGATGCCAGCATGAATTGAACGGCACCTTTGCCAGAACAATCAGGTTTGTTAGTCCTGGATGTTCTTTCGTTCTCAACCTCAGGGTGTGTACTAGAACAATAATTGATTTAAAACTTTAATATATGCACTGGCTGATGTTGGAATTCATCCATTTGCCATATTGATCTTTCTTCTTCTTCTTCTTCTTCTTCTTCTTCTTCTTCTTCTTCTTCTTCTTCTTCTCTCTCTCTCTCTCTCTCTCTTTCTCTTTCTCTCTCTCTCTCTCTCTTTCTTTTTCTCTTCCTTTTTGCATTTTTGGCACAGAAGAAGAAAGGGAGGGAAGTGGGTCATTTCTTTTCGAAGTTCCAGCGGATCAATGTTCCAGGGCAGAGGCAAAGGCACAGTCACTATGATTCATTTTATTTGATTTTTAAAAATTGTTAGTTGTTAAGTGTTGAGTAGTCTCAAAGACTCGGTCAAGACTGTCCACTTTCAAACTCTGTGAACTCACCAACAAGAAAGGAATTTGGCATGCCAAGGGTTTACTTATCTTAAAAACAAAAAGGTATTGTTTGAGAGTGAAGGTAGAGCCATACTGAACTGCAAAGTAAGATCACAGCCCTGGGTCCAGCTCTGCTTTTAGCCATTTTTGCCTTGTGTGTAAGACTTACTAGGATTTTGTTCTTTCCAGTTATAATTTATGAAAGGAGGATCAATCTCTCCATCCACTCTCTGCATCACACGACCTTCAGATGTAGGTACCCACTACCGCTACCCTTATGGTTACACAATTCCGGCCATAGTTTAGGAATCTCAAAGCTTTCAAATCTTACCAAACAAACAACAAGTTCACCAATGCACTTAAAAGGTTTTTTTTTGTTTTTGTTTTGTTTTTTTTTTGTTTTTTTTAATGATGCTGCACCAGATTTTCTTAACTTCACTAAAGAAAGGGATGATCCTGTTGAGTTCTGTTAGTTGATGACATCAGTCCTGTCAGGTAAAACCTCAGAGCTCAGAACTACCCATGGTGATGGCAACACAAGGCTAAGTTAACAGGGGCAGAAATGATACCTGAGAAACAAGCAGAAGACAACTAAACTAAAATAGAAGGAGGTGCCTCGTGTCCCTGGCAAAGGAAGCAGGATACTACAGGGGTCTGAGAATTCTGTGGCTTATTGGGGACCATCAGCTGCTAGGTACAAGGCTGACACAGGGTGAGGTGAGCGAGACGGTTTGGTAGGCAGGGCCTAGCTAGCACGCAGTCTTGAGCCTGAGACTGCGTGCTAGCTAGTCCCTGAGAACTCAGGTTTCTTTTTAAAAAGGTTGCTCTGGAGAAACGATGAAGGGCAGGTTGACGACTGGTAAGAGTAGAAACAGGAAGATCAATTTCATATCTTGCCAACCTAGAGGTGGAAAGGACACCTATCTAAAGGCCACGAGGTTTTGGTGTAAGACTGAGGAGACGCAGACAGGGGCTTAGGACAGGATATGTCTGAGCATATTCTTCAGCAACCCTTCTATCTTTCAACTTTGAATGTTATCCCTGATTGACAGATCCATTCTAAGTCTTAAATTTTTCTAAACAATAGCGTATTATCTGAACCAAGACAGGAAATACATATGCCCTCACCAAGTAGACAGATCTGTATGGGGCTCAGGAGCTATCACTATTGAGCCTTGTTTTGGTACTCGATATCCAGGAAGGTAGTGCCCCACACTTCCTTGTGGATGATCTGACATATCTACGGCATCTGAGGGCTTGGCTTCCTTTGCCAGGCACTGTATGTTTCCTCAAGAGGAGAGTTCTTGACCATAAAAGAAACAGACATATTTCCATCCACTAGATGATGAAGAAAGACATCACGGATTGTTGGCGGCAGCCTTTGAGAATGACTGACAATGGCGGCCCTTCAAACGTTACTGCATGTATGTGAGTAGCAGAAAAGCCGTAAATGGGTGAAGCTTTCTAAAATTTATTTTAACATATATGAAATATACTGCAAAGTTAAGATTAAAGTTTGACTTTATACATCACTTACTGATTTAGGCAAAGTCTATCAAAACAAAGGAATAGTCAACACTAGTAATATACAGACGGGTCACGATCTGTCTTCATAAAAGAGAAAACTTTAAATGGAGGCAGGTACGACCTGGATGGTGGACTATAGAGTCCACTCAAACCCTGTAATTTATGGAATATTTTCACATGATGTGTGGATTTTTTATTTTCAGAAACAGATGTGCAAAAAAACTTATCTAATGGCTTGGGAGTAATAACATCATTAGCACATGTGAGACATGATCCAAGATTTGCTATTGGAGATTTCAGGGTCTGCTGTTCATAAAGTAAAATATTAGTGGCCTGCCACTCCTGGGTGCTCACTCCTGTGGCAATAAAACTGGCGGAGGAAAGGGGTTTTCCACTCAAACTGTACGAACACCGTCCTCTTCTGTCATGTTCTTTATCCTCGTTCATTTCCCCCACCATGTAAATCTTCCCGCTTTTCAGCACGCTTTAAAAGAAAAGAACAATTTAGCCTTCACTATTCTGCATTTTTGTTTTTCCTGGCCAAGGGAAAGTGAAGAACGGATCTACAATAAAAGCACCAAGTGGATGGTGGAATGCAGCCAGGCCAGAGCGGGTGCAAAGTGTAGACAGTGTTCTCAGGTCAGAGCGGGTGTGAGTGTAGACGGTGTGCTGGGTCAGAGCTGGTGTGCCAGGGGGGCGTCTGGCAGGGACTTTGTGCTGGAGGAATGACCATGGGAATAAACATGTAGCTTTCAACACAAGGAGATTTGTGATGGAGATAATCCACTGACCTTGAAGCTTCCCGTCCTGGAGCCCAGGGCCACTTTGAGACTTTTGGGCCTGCCATAGCTCTCCCTTCACCATCTTGTCGGGAACCTTGGAGCTACTCAGACTGAGATTTGTAGATTTCACTTCTTTGCATTTGATGAGACCCCCTTCACCTTTCCACAGCACGCTCTCCTAGGTGGAAAGCTGCCACTGACTCCAACCACTGCGACACTTGGGGTTTGTGATACGCCCAGATCCTATCTTTTGACTATAACTTAATACTTGTTAGAATCCACTCATAGCTAAATGGAGAATTTTATGAGGATCCAAAATATTGCATAGGTATAAAAATAAAGATACTCTTAAAATTTGACGTACGAATTGAGTGACCAGTTAGTGTTTTCCCACAAACTGGTACAAGTTAGCCCAGAGTCCCACATGTGTACGGCTGGCATGGTATGCGTATGGGCTAATGCAGCCATACATCCATCCGTCTTTGGCAGGGGCAGGGTTGCCAATGCTGGTTTATGATTCAGTTTTCATTCTTCCCTCACACCTGCTACAATAATAACGGATGGTCATCTGTGGTCCAGGCTCCTCTTAATTCCTTTCTCATTCTTTATTTCTGAGTTTGTCTTTTGCAAAAAAAGAAAAAGGAAAAGGAAAACCTGGGGAAGAGCCGGGTTATTATTTCAGTAAAGTTTTATGCAGAACTGAGGGTGGATGGCCATTCTTCACCCTTGGCTGTTATTATATTATACCCTTCATATTTAACCCTAAAATGAATCTCATGTCTTGCTTCTGCCTGCCTTCCCCAGTGGTGCGTGTACCTATGGTTCGGATTTTATTCATTACTTTAAACAGGTTATTTGTTAATATTTTATTAAGTTCATATTTTGTTGAACCCAATGTTGTTTTGAGTTAGGGATACTTGCCTCCTGAAAGAAGGTTCACTGGCATCTTCCAGAACCAAGTTAAATAACAAACAACTTCTCCACGGCCTATCAAGCTCCTGCCCCAGCGTTTGACAGATGCTGGAGGTGTGTGCCCACGTCAGGTTCTATCACGAACTGACACCTTCCTGGTCATGTAGGTGCCACTGCACACTGCTCCTTAGGACGCTTCAGCTAATTTTTTCCTCTCTCTATTTTGTTTCCCCACGTCTTAGTGCATTCAGTAATATATTAAAGTTTATTCTTTTATACATATAAGAAATCTCTTTGATTTTTAGGTGGGGCCTGTTGAAGCTTCTGTCCAGTTACAGCTGAAAGAGGAAGTCTGTGGAATTCTAATTTTACTTAGGATATAGGGTGGAGACAGAGACACCTAGATAAAAAGACAATGGACTTTGATATCACAGCCCCACAGAGGAGCAAAACCTTAGGGTTTTGTTGTTGTTTGTTTCCTATTGAAAAGACCTTCAACAACATACCTGGTCTTGCGAGGTCTCAAATGGTCATGGATAGTTCACATTGCAGAGGTGTGTGGGGACCAGATATAACATAGAGATACAGAGCAAGTGCTCATTCCTTAACCCAGCCTTGTGGTCTGTTCTGCCTCAGCTGATGGGGTCCTAGAGGTATAAGAAGTCGCCTACTTGAAGACATCTTAGGATGCTCTCCTCTCCAGAGCACTCCTGGCGGTAAAGAGGTTTCAGGCTCAGATGCATGCTTTACTTTCTTTTTTCCTTGGGTTTTCATTAGCTTGGATTGGTTAGTCATGTGAGTGAAAACTTTTCCAACTGCAGATTACCAAACCAAGTTAAATCTTTAAGCAG